ATGCGTTTTTGCTGCCTGTTGCAGCGCGCGGCAAAAACGCGTAAAAAAAACATGCTCACTGTGATCTTATACTTCAAATTCTAGATATGGAAGATGATGAGCGAGCGAGAGCGTTCAGTAACTGCTTATAATCCTTGCTCAGCCATGCTGCTTTTGCTGTTTTCTAAATGCAGCACGAATTGCCAGGATTACAGAGTAATACTAGAAGCGCGCCGATGATATAGTAGCACCATTTTTGAGTATTCCCATCTCTAAAACCAAAAGAAAAACCAGAAGATTATCGACAAATTGCTGGATGACAGTTCACTGATTTAGCCATGGATTTTGTTCTGTCACTGGTAACAGTGAGGCGATTATTATCGACAAAATGTCATTGCAGTTTTAATGTGAATGAGCCACTAACTCAGCGCTTACTTGCGGAAAATTTTATGATTGTTGCCTTTCACATCGTTCCGTAATAGAACCATCGCTGGTCTCAGCGTGCCGGGACAAGAGTGAGCGTGCCTTCGAAATGTCACTGCACACTGTTATCAGCCGAATAATTTGCTTATCATTCGTTGCACTCGGTTTTATTAACAGTAAATGACATTCTGCCAGCGGACCGCTGCAACGACATTCAGTTTCGAGTACCGTTCATGTTCGGTTCTCTCTGGGCAGCTCATTTTTATTTCCATTGTATCTGCGATACCTTTCTAGTTCTGTTACTTCTGCGGTACTGTCAAAGACTTCTCCCCTATCCCGTTATTCTGTTTTTAAATGACTCCAGATTGGTCTCAACTATTTTTGTGTCTCTGTGTGTATGTGTGTGTACGCGCGCATGTTTTCTTTTTTTTTGCAAATATTCGCCGGTCTCAAGGCTGGTCATAAATTTGCTTGTCCACACGTGTCTGCGCATGCTTGCCTTTCCAGTTATCGAACCACCCGAAATTTTACGCGGGCTGGCTTCTTGGACCTTGAGAAATTGGCAATTTTAATTTCTTTTCGAAACATTTTCCTTCCCCTTATGACATGTGTTCTCGAGCAAATCCTGCGGATGGTGGTTCGAGTTCCACACTCATCCCTACTTGTTGCTTCTTGTTAGTGGGCTGCTGTTGCTGTTGCTGCATGAGGGTTGCCAACTATCAGGTGCTGCGCTTGTCATGACGCATGCCTTGTTTTATGGTGCTGCAGATGTTACAGAGAGAACCGTTCTGTCCACTGGATCGTGGCAGGGCTATTTTCGCTCTTTTTCCTGGACTTTTCTCAGCATCGGGTCTGTAGCAGTAGCTTTGCTTTGCTGTTTAAGCATGTTTTTTTATGCAGGTGATTAATAATCGGACACCGGATGGCACTGATCTTCCCACGTCGCTGTTTCCAATACAAATGTAAATTAGCCTTACGGGTGGAGTAAAATGGCGAAGTGAAGTGATTAGTAGTGGCAGTAGCGTGCCAGTGAGAACGGGTGATCTTGGTACTTTTTGCGGCGCTTCGGTCTCAACGGCTCACTCCTTAAGTAGCAGCTAGCGCCGCATTTCGGTACGTGCGCTTTCTGCAGGTCGCGTGCCTGCCGCTCCTGCTGCCCCGCTGTGTAAACATACCTTTCAGCTCTTTCGTTTCCATTTCCTACGCGCGAATTTCATGTCGAAGTTGCCATTTGCTCATGCCTGAGGAGGCCGCGGCTGCTGGACTCTGTTGCCGGCCGGCGCGGCCTCTTCGTCCGTCCACCGTTTCGATCTGTTAACCTCCCTCCATCGCACTCTCATCACTCCTCCTGGCTCACTCACCTTTTTTGCAAAACAGTTTCATTGCATCGAACTTGTAACTGCTGTTAAATATTTCCCTTCTACAGCAGATACTGGCAACGTGGCGCATCGGCTTGCTTCCTCGGTCTTACTGCTTATTATCCCTTTTGTGCTGTGTAACAGCAGTACAAAACGCATATTGTCACGGTGTTGTCTGTGTGTCCCACATTTTGTCCCGCACTTTCAACTCGAGAACCACAAAAGCTAGGCGGCTGAAATTTTGGTATAGTGCTCTATTTTGTCCCGCACTTTCAACTCGGGAACCACAAAAGCTAGGCGGCTGAAATTTTAGTATAGTGTTCCCCACCAATGGGTGACGCGGCAAATTTAAATTCAGCCTTTCCGTACCCGTGGGTAACACGTACGGCCTCGTAAAAGTTTTTCGGGTAAAGTTAGTATCTCGGGAACCACGGAAGGTGGAAGGCTGAAATTTTGTAAGCATGTCCCCCGCCCATGTGCTACCCAGAAAGTTTAAATTCGGCTTTCCCCTGCCCACGGGTAACAAGTATGGCCCCGTGAAAATTTTTGACGGGTAAATTATCATCTCGGGGACCACGGAATCTAGGAGGCTGAAAAGGGTAATGACCCCCTGCCCACGCTCAACCTTGCCTATCCAAATTCAGCGTTCCAGCGCTCTCGGGTATCACCTAGTGAGTTTTTAGGGGCTAGTGAGTTTTTGCGGGTAAATTATTATCTCGGGAACCACAAAGTCTATGAAGCTGAAATCTTAGGGTAATGACCTCCTGCCTTTGCTCAATCTTACCTATTCAAATTCAACGTTCCCGTCCTCTCATGTATCACCTACGGCCTCGTGAAAATTTTGGCGGGTAAACTGTTAACTCGGAAATCACAGAAAGAAATTCACCCTTCAAGGCTTCGAATTCAGCTTTCATGCGCAGGTGCGTGAAATTTCTATTTTTCAATGTTTCAACTATTTTTGCATAGACTAAAGTACGAAGCAGTGAAAATTATTAATAGGCCGTCATTCGATGGGCTGAATTGCACAAAACGCATGGTCGCACCGGCTAGTCTGGTGCGCGTTGCTATTTCATATTTGGTCCTCTGCTTCCAACAAATGGCTCCCTCAACCGAGCCTGCTTTCGACGCACTGAATTTCACTCCAGCTGCCCATTCATTGCGCCAGCAGTAAACTCAAAGCGATATTTACGTGTTATAGACCTTCGCTGTAAATTTCTAAATTACTGTTATACAAGTTTGTTTTTTGAAGCATCTCGGGCAGACTTGCTCTGAAAAGCTTTGGCAGTTGTCACCCGAAACTTTATCCTCTGTTATTAAGCGGCGTGCCTGGCCTTTCTGGACAGTAGTTGCTAGTTTGTTCTAAAAGTGAAATTACTGGGATGTGTTTTTGACGCGATCAGGTCTTGTTCAAAACTTTTCTATCTCACTCAGAAGAGCGAGCGTTGGCATTGGTCTAGGAAGCAGCAGAGCAACGTGCTTGCAGCGTCCACTCGTAACCACTGTGACCACGCGGGAAATATGCCCTGCTGGCAGCCGGTGGATATGGCATGTTACTGAGTGGTACTTGAGAGGAAATAGACGACCATTCGGGCTGCTTCTGAAGAGGTAGCACAGCTACGTCGAACAGGTGATAGGTACTAAATGGAGGCACGCCAGTCAGTGCTTGGCCCAGCTGCTGCAGTTTGTAGAAGCATCCGATTTACATCATTAACATGAAACTCTCACACTGAGTCTCCGAGCGGTTCTAAGATTCTTGACGTATCGTTTCTTCCGTTCCGACTTTATTTCGCAGTTCTCCTGCCACAGCTCTGAGGTGCTTTTGTCTTACATTTCCTTAAGCTTTTTTTTTTTTTAAGCAGCTCTCAGGTAACCACTGTACTCTCCGAAATGTAAGACTGATCGAAAATACGTACGACAATTTTGAGAATCTCTGCAGTTCTCGTTTCACTGCCACAATTAGCTTTTGAGAGCGCAATCGATTTGATTTGCTGTTCGCCGAAATCGGTCGTCTCCGGTCGAACTGGTGCTGAGTGCTACAGAAATTTTTTGTTTTTTCAAGAGACTTGCTCAATATTTCATCTCGCATCTCTCTGCCCTGCTAACGAAAACCGTGAAAGTGATACGGACTTTTTAGTAAAAAATGATTTTTGGGTTAATAACAAGCAGAGCTAAATGCTGTTGCAGTCTTCCGCCTTCTTTCGCTTATTGTTCCTTTCGGTGCAAAATCAGAAGCCAATGACTTTTTTGATCGCTTTGCTTGACGTTTATTTTTATTTTCTTGTGTACGACTTGGCTGGAATCTGCTAAAGAAGGCTTACTTCAGTTTCTCGGATTCACACGCGCAACAGCTGCACACAGGTTTTTCATTGCACGTGGCTGGTTATTTTCACTTCAAAAATATGATGGAAATTGGGCAGTAGGTGTTTGAGAATGTTCAGTGTTTGTTTCGATGAAAGTAAAAAGGGCGGCGGATCTCATCGTCTTTGCAAATCTTCGAGACATGGAAGAATTAAGTTCCGGTC